AGTGCTGGGATTAAAGGCGTGCGCCACCACCGCCCGGCAATTCTTTTTCTTTCTAGGAATATTTATGAATAAAAAGAGCTATATTTACCGGAACTCTCCCGGTCAAAAATGGTCACAATTGTCTCTGAACTCAGGTTTGTCCATTCCCTTGAAAAGAGAAAAGAGAAAGGAGTAAAAGTTCCCACCAGTTCATTGTGTAAGCAGCTCGTCTTCTAAGGCCTCACTCCCAGGCACACATCCACTCTCTCCATATGGCTTCCACACCATTCGCAGTGTTGATGGCAGTCGCACGCTTGGAGTTCTCAGGGGTAACTGAGCACGGCAGGCAGCAGATTTAAATAGTTGATGGATGGGTAGCTGAATTGGATCCCCAAAGACAGCTGGGTTGGTGCCTTGTATTCCTTGAAGGCACAACCTAAAACCAAAGCTTTCAACTCATTAACTTGTTATTTGTTTTAGTTTGACTTGATTTTAAGTTGGCATCTAATACTGTACATATTTATTAGGCACAGTGTGATGCTTTGATACATGTATGTGTACTACCCATGATCAGGTCAGAATCAGCCTATCACCTCAAACATTATTTCTTTGTGGTGAGTATGTGAAAATTCTCTTCTATTTATTTTGAAACATACAGTTCATTGTTGTTACTGATGCCCACCCTAATTGGGTAACAGACCACCAGAATCCTTCCTCTTAGATCTGATTATTCTTTTTTTATTACTTTTTATTTACTTATATACCAACCACAATTTCCCCTCCCTCCTCTCCTCCTGTTCCCTCCCCCACCTCCTTTCTACCCCCCCCCCCATCCACTCCTCAGAAATGGTAAGACCTCCCATGGGAGTCCACAATGCATGGCATACCAAGTTGAGGCAGGACTAAGCTCCTCCCCCCTACATCAAGACTGAGCGAGGCATCCCATCTCTTTTTGGAATAGGTTCCAAAAAGCCAGCTCATGCACCAGGCACAGATCCTGGTCCCACTGCTAGGAGCCCCACAAACAGAATGAGTTACACAACTGTCTCCCACATGCAGAGGGCCTAGGTCAGTCCCATGTAGGCTCCCTAGCTGTCAGTCGGTCCCGTCAGCCGTCTCTGTGGGTTTCCCTGTCATGATCTTGACTGCCCTTGTTCCTACAATCTTTCCTCCCTCTCTTCAGCTGAACTCCTGGAGCTCGGCCCAGTGCTTGGCTGTGGATCTCTGCATCTGCTTCCATCAGTTACTGGATGAAGGTTCTATGATGACAATTAGGGTAGTCATCAATCTGATTACAGAGGAGGCCAGTTCAGGCACCCTCTCCACTATTGCTAGGAGTCTTAGCTGAGGTCCTCCTTGTGGATTCCTGGGAGTTTCCCTGGCACCAGGTTTCTCCCAAGCCCCATAATGGCCCCCTCTATGAAGATTTCTCTTTCATTGCTTTCCCTCTCTGTCCCTCCCCCAACTCAGCCATCTCAATCCCTCATGCTCCCATCCCCCACCCCTCACCCCCGCCACTCCCAGTTTGCCCAGGAGATCTCATACCCTTCCCAGGGCTATTCATCCATGTGTCCCTCTTAGGGTCCTCCTTGTTACCTAGTTTCTCTAGAGCTGTGGATTGTAGCCTGGTTATCCTTTGCTTAAATCTACTATCTACTTATGAGTGAGTACATACCATATTTGTCTTTCTGGGTCTGGGTTACCTCACTCAGGATGATTTTTTTTTCTAGTTCCATCCATTTGCCTGCAAATCCCATGTCATTGCTTTTTACAGCTGAGTAGTACTTCATTGTGTAAATATACCATACTCCCTTCATCCGTTCTTTGGTTGAGGGGCATCTAGGCTGTTACCAGGTTCTGGTTATTATGAATAATGCTGCTATGAACATAGTTGAGCAAGTGCCCTTGTGGTGTGGTTGAACATCTTTTGGGTGTATGCCCAAGAGTGGTATCGCTGGGTCTTGAGGTAGATTGGTTCCTAATTTTCTGAGAAATACTGGTCTCCAGAGTGGCTACATTAAGTTAGCACTCCCACCAGAAGTGGAGTGTTGTTGTTTTTGGTCTTTTGGGGGGGCCCACTTGCCAGCTCCCATATAAAGCACACATGG